CTCGTGTTAAACCCTTTCCGGGTACTGCGCACATGGCATCTGCAAACTCACACCTGCCGAGCTTTAACGGGAAGCTTGCGGTGCACCAAAACAGCTAGGAATCCTAAATATGAATGCCCGAAGCATAGCAAATAAAACTGCTGAGTTAGAAAATCTCTTGTACAAATATGATCCCCATCTGACGGTCATAAGTGAAACATGGTTACATGATGGTGTCAGCGACGACTGTATTGTACCTGACTCGCACCAAATATTCCGTCGCGACCGCTCTTCTCGGGGACAAGGAGTTGCTGTCATATTAAAAAAAAACCATTCTCAGTCACTCTGCTTCCGCAGATTGATTCTCATGAAAGCCTCTTTTTGAAAGTAACTTTCTGGGGTCATGTGTTTACAGTTTGCGCGGTATACAGGCCACCGTCTTCCCCACATGGGTTTCTAACGATGCTTTTGAATTATATGACAGCAACAAATCTGGGCAAGACTATTATTGCGAGTGATTTCAACATGCCATCGATCAACTGGACGAGTGACCACCTTTCCCAAACAGAGGATAACCCACTTCTTGACATAATGATGGCATGCGACTTGGACCAAGTGGTAAAGGGGGTCACCCGTCCGTCTGGTGATGGTGGCACAATTTTGGATCTCGTTTTTATCAGCAAAGCTATGTTACAGCATGATGTTTGCATAGAAGAGGGCATATCGGACCATAAGCTCGTTTTTATTGCTTGTTCCATTGAAAACTGTGCTAAAAACGCGAAGCCCAAGGCAAAAGTTGTTAGTAACTTTGCCCGTGCTGACGACCAAGCAATCTTAGACAAGCTTTGGGCGTTTGCCGACAACCTATCAAATGAAAATCCCCTCTCACTATGGTTTGAATTTAGGAGAATGGTCCTCGATTGTATTCGTACCTATGTCCCTGGGTAGACAGGAATATTGTTCATTTAAAGCGGAAACTGAAACGGGCCTGAAACGGGCCAAGAAAACAAAACCACCTAGAGCTGAACTCAGAGTCTTAAAACACAGCTTTCAGCAAGTTTATCTACAGCCAGAAAAAAATAGTTTTTGACCACGTTGCAAAATTTTATAAAAACACAATCACAAAAGTTCTGGTGCTATCTGGACAGCAGTAAAAAACGCTTGGAACAAATTGAACAAAACAACGTCCTTATAACTCAACTGAAGACCATTGCTAATACAATGAACGAGTATTTCCATTCGGTCTTCTCTCCCCAGACTGAAACAAACGGGCTGTTCACGAATGTGACTGATATCAATCCTGAATTTATATCTTGTGAAGGCGTTCTTGCACTTCTGCTGGATATAAATGAAAAGTTGTCCGAAAGGCCAGACCTAATTCCAAATGCTTTCTTGCGCCTTTATGCCGAGCCGATATCACACATTTTGACCATCATCTTTCGTTTATGCTTGCGTCACTTAGTCTTGTCTTATTGGTGCCTAGCTCGCGTTGTGGCTGTCTTTAAAAAAGGAAATAGCTTGAAAATGAAAAATTATCGACCCATCTCACTAACATCAACCTGCTGCAAAATTTTGGAATACATAATCGCCTCTTTTATTCAAAAATTTCTGGAAACAAATAGCGTCCTTTCCGGGTTCCAACATAGGTTCTGCAAAGGCCTTTCTACCACTACTCAACTTGTTACAACCACTCATGAAATCGCACAAGCTTTAGATTCATCCAGCCAAATAGATTTAGTCTTTCTTGACTTCAGTAAAGCCTTTGATCGCGTACCCCATGATAAACTACTCACTAAGCTCTTCTTGGGCCTTCCTGCGTTTATAATTAACTGGATCAAATCATATTTAACAAACAGAACAAAGTTTGTGGAAGTTGACGGGTGCGCATCTGAGAGACTTGGTGTGACATCTGGCGTTCCACAGGGCAGTGTTTTGGGACCGGTTCTTTTTTTAATTTACATCAATGACATAACATCTGCTATTGACCCGAGAGTTTCCATGAAATTGTTTGTAGACGACTGTCTTATTTTCAAGGAAATCACGGGCACCGATGACCAAGTCTTGTTAAACAGCAGTTTAACGGGAATTGGTCAGTGGTGCACTACCTGGGGTATGAACTTGAACGCTGACAAAACAGTTCTACTTCTTGTAACGAAAAAAAACAACCCTTTCAGTTTTTCTATTCATTAAATGGTGCACCAGTGGTAGAAAAAAGCCAGTACAAATACCCCGGGATAACGTTCACCAATACTCTGTCGTGGTCAAAGCACATAGAAAACATCTGCGCATCTGCCACACGCAAGTTAGGCTTTTTACGGCATAAACTGAAAGCGTCACCAAATCATGTCAAATTACTGGCCTTCAAGATGATAATACTTCCTAAACTGCAATACGCTTCGGTCGTATGGGACCCCTTCCTTGAAAAAGATAAGTACCAGCTTGAAATGGCGCAAAGAGGCGCTATATGCTTCATTTTCAACAAATATAGGACCACCGACTCACCAACTTCTCTAATGCTGGCGAATAGCATTTCAACCCTGCAAGATAGACGAAAAATCGATAGGCTGAAACTGCTATTTGCTCTTTATACTGGTTCCACAAAGGTAAATGCATCGGTATACATTCAGCCATTTCAATCGCGCCCCACGAGACATCGGCATACACACAATTTGCTTCCGTATCAAGCCCACACAAACATGTTCAAGAATTCGTTTTTCCCACGTACAGTATCGGAATGGAATTCACTGCCTGAAGTGGTTTTCTCATCTCAGTCTATTTGCAATTTTGAGCGTGCCATATTGTCTGTGCTGTAGTCTGTACTCGACTTGCTTTACTGTTTATCGCAATTGTGAATGTATAATAGGGAGATAGACCCATCTCCGTTGTTCTGAAGGTCGTATTAACCTGTGTTTAAGCTGATCAATATATCTCTGTATAATGTACTTATCTTCTGTATTTTGTGCTCAGCATTCATCTATCACCCTTACGTCTGTTTTCCACTTAAATTTTGTGCCTTTCCTGCTTGGTCTTTTCAAGACCGCAATGTTGTAAAATAAATAATAAAATAAACAAAGAAGAGCAGCCTTGATTCGGGGTGGACCTTTGAAAATTCCAGCTTTAAAAACAAAACAGAAGAACATTATGCATCTCATAGAGTGCAAGGAGTCTCCTTAACACATAATTTATTGCGTGGCAGAAGCGTAGAATCATGCCAGGCGTCAAAAGATGTCAAATAAGCAGCGAGTGGGTGCTTTAAAGACAAAAAACACCGGCACATTTTATCATTACCAGTAGCAGAAACATCAACAGTGAACAGCTGCATAGGTCTGTGTGTTGCAGAACGGATTCGCAGTGGGCCTTTTGCCGATTTGCAAAATTAACAATTATGGCATAGTGTGCACTGAACTGCGCTGACACTAGGCATTCATTTATACAGTGAAATGACCAAAGTTACGTGCACAATCATTCACTTTCTTCTATCGCAATTGAGGTATGCACCAAGTACCAAAGCAGGCTAGCAATTCAGGGGATGTGGACGAGGCTTGATTATGCTATCGCGCTCTTCTCTTGGAAGAAGAAGCTCAAGCGTCCCTTTTTTTTTGTTTTTCGATGAATCCACCAAACACACAAGCAGAGTAGTAGTAGGCCTTGGATTGCATGGAATGTTATTTTTCATTATAAGTAGCTTGAGTAATAAGATTATTGTACCTGGGACTCATGGCCTCGTCTGCCTCATTCCAAATTGTCACCCTCATAGCGCACAGTTGCTGATAACACTGACATTTTTGACATTCTCATATTTAACCTATCAGTCGGATTGAAAATGTTACTTGCATTAGGGTCCCTTTAAAACAATGTCGGCTTTAACGCCTTACAGATAACAGCGTTACCATGGTGACTTGTTGCTTTTTTTCAGTAACCTAACATACTCCCTGCCACATCCGAATTATAATAGGTAATGTACTTACTTTACAGTTCTTCGGTAGCGTTAGGTGTCACGTTACTTTTTTTTTCGAAGATGCCGGGAGCTTCACAAAAAGCTCCTTTGCTGCATAGGTGCCTCTATTGCAGAGCTCGCTCGTACATTCTTTTTTCGCAGTGGCAGACTGCAGCCATCGTTACCATCCAAAGTGCCTGTCGGGAGCCCATTTAGCGTATGCGCAGAAGCACTCGTTAAAAGCGAGCCAATTTTTCCGATGGAAACTTCGAAACGCACAGTTTTCTAAATTCTGCCTTCAAATCCTTGAAATAATCAAGCACTGGTATAAACTTTTTTTCAATGTTGTTTCTTTCCATTTGCCTCTGTGAGTACGTGTTTCAATAGTTACTCAATTTTTCCACGAACGAGGCTGACCTTCGACACTTTACAAGTGCTCATAACTTTTTCAGCAAATACACAGCCCTGTCCTTCCTCATTTATTCCTCTTCTACAAAGCCTAAAAGGAAAACCATACATGTACACAAACATCTTTCTCCAGAACTAAATGGTTTAGGCATAATTTTTGTTTGTTTTCACGTTTGCCTTTAAAGGCACATCGTGACTTGTGAAATGATTGGGTTGCCATGTTTTTTTTTTCAACAAGAGCCTTGGTGTTGAAATCTGAAAATTGATGTTTTTTTGTGTCACTGAGGAAAATGGGTTTACCATGTGCCAAACTTGGAAGCTATTAAATGTAACCCTAAAAGCGACCTTAAATCCCTAAGCTTTAGTGCCAAGCTGTGACACATTCGTGCAACTTCTGCTTAAATCAGTACTTTGCATAAAGTTGTTGCTTAAGCTATAAAATTTATATTTGAAAAACGGATATCAACTTTATTAGACTATTATTTAGAATGCGAAATTGCTATTTCATATTTCTGCTGCCAAAATGTGGAGATTAAAGATTTTTCACCAGAGAGTAACAGCTGAAGTAACGGGCCATTACTTTTTTCAATAATTGTAACACCAACGTGCTACCTTTTTAAGAGATAACATAGGGCAGTGACGTTCTTTTTTGTTGGAGTAACGAGTAATGAATTCAGTTACCTTTTTAATTCAATTCAATTTCTATTTTTCCAGTTAATACATGCTGGATGGTTTCGTTGAGTTAAAAGCTACACAATCAGCTTGACAAGACACAACGACCAGACTATACGAAATTATACAGTATTCGGCAACACCTACAACACTGCTCAAACAACAAACTCTCACTCTCACTTTTATTCAACAAACTCTGCTCTCTCAGCCACACTTCCTCTTCGAAGCCTATAGGCTCTTCACAATTGTCGCTTTTGGATTTTATGCACGCGGGAAACGTGGGCCATGAAGTTGTTCCTTCGTGAAAAGGTTCGATTGCAGTAAACACAGGAGTAGGGACGCTCTCCTGTGTGAGTGCGGATGTGCAGCACGAGGGTCTGTTTGATGGGAAAGGACGCATTGCAGTGAACACAAGAGAAGGGACGCTCTCCTGTGTGAGTGCGCATGTGCGACAATAAGTCCGGTTTCCGTATAAAGGATGCATTGCATTGAACACAGGAGTAGGGACGCTCTCCTGTGTGAATCCGGGTATGCTCAGTGAGGTAATACTTAGTCACAAAGCGTGCACTGCAGTGGACACAGGAAAAGCAACCCTGTCCTGTGTGCTTGCGAACGTGTTTCGAAAGATTCTTTTTCTGTTTAAAGGATGCATTGCAGTGAATGCAGGAGAAGGGACGCTCGCTCGTGTGAGAGTGCATGTGCTGATTGAGATCGTATCTAGTCACAAACGACGCACTACATTGCGCACAGGAAAAGCAACGCTCCCCTGTGTGGAGGCGGACGTGTCTCAATAAAGTACTTTTACGCTTAAAGGATGCATCGCAGTGGTCACAGGAAAATTGACGTTCTTCTGTGTGAATGCGCTTGTGTGCCACGAAGTCGGTTTCCATCACAAACGATGCATTGCATTGGATACAGGGAAAGGAACGCTCTCCTTTGTGGTGGTTGAGAATGTGTTTCACAAGGCTCTTTTTCTGCACGAAGGATGCATTGCAGTGGACGCATGAAAATGGGCGCTTCCCAGAGCCAATGCGCACGAGGACATCGACGGCATCTTTCCGTGAGCAGGATTGACTGTCGTGAACACAGGAAAGGGAACACTCTCCAGAGTGAGTGCGCATGCGAGTCTCTAGCTTGGAGTCTTCAGCGAATGAACTAGGGCACATGTGGCACTGGAAGGGGTGTTTGCCTACGTGTCTCCGAAGGTGTCTGGCCATAGTTGACTTATCATGTGTTACATAGAAGCAGTGTTCGCACGAATGCAGTCGACGTCGCACAGGCGCCGATGAAGAGGACTGTTCCAGATATGCAAGAGACAAGAAACCTGCAAAACCACCGAGAAAAAACAAAGGTAATAAAAATTGTGTCACGAGCTACATGAAACTCTACTACCACACAAGGTTGCCAACCACAGGCTAATTAGCCTACTTCTAGGGTATTTTTATAATTTTTCGGGCATTGTGGGATAGTAGTCTGATAATACAATGTTTTTCTCAGGTGTAGGGAAATTTGTACTTTTCACTGATCAGTATCAGTAAACTAAGCAGACAATCGACAAGACATCCCCGAGGTTGATATTCTTAATTACATGCAAAAGCTAAATCTTTCTTTGAGCAAAAACTCTAACCGTCTTAATTCACATCACAGTAGCAAACGGTAGTCACGAAAGATAATATGTCAATCTTTCGAGGATGTGCAATAAATACGATCAACAGACCCGACGAAAAAGGAGGTAGCTATCGCCCCTGTGTGTTACAGGAGTGCGAAAGTTTTCTTGATGACAGTAAAAAGAGTGTCTCCTCTTTAAAAACAGGTAGATAATTGTGCTTAGCAAAAATCAAGATTATATTATTAATATTGCTAACATTATACCATTAAGGACTAAACTTAGGTGAATTGACATTGTCTTTCTATAAAAACCTTACAAATTAATAGCCCCAATCTCTGTGCCTTAGTGCTAGATAACCTTACTTTGACTTTTTTTTTGATACCAAAATATACTTCACCACTATCTTTCCAAGGTTGTCTCCAAAACTCTATGTTTCATGTAGACTAGTGCCTTGAGATGAACACAAGTCAATGCCCTCACAGTCATTTAAGCAGGTACCATCGTTTTCTTACCTTTCCCCACATGAGCCTTTCTCTTCTGTACTTAATCTTGTTTTACAGCTATGCATGCCAAGGCAACCCGAGCTTGTAAAACAGCAAATTGCTTCTATTTCCTTGAATGATCGTTAAGCGTATCCTTGCTCATTTTTCCCATTCGGTAGTTGCCCAGGACCCCTTTTCTCCCATTTCTGATATCCTATTAACTTTTACACTTCCATGATTAGTGCTTTGCTTACACTATTTGTCACCATATCGCTAACACTGCACGCCGCATACTGGCCGAGAAGTCTCCCATTTCTCTTTATCAACCGAGCCAACGATCTTATCATACAAATACTGGAACGATGCCCCTTTTCGGCTACTTTCTTTCACCTTATTTAAACTTTCTTCCAAATTATTCTTCAGATTAGTTTTCAGAGCACCAACCAACTTCAGCACCATGACTTGTCTACATGTGGTACACCATGACTTGTCTACATGTGGTACACTGAAGTGTACAATGAAGGCTAGTCTGTACGGTTGAAACTTTCAACGTAATCAGGGCTTTCCAGGCGGCTGCAGGATGACAAGGATTCAGTGCTGCATTCTTGAAGGAAAAAAATGCCCGTGCCGTGCCTTCAACCGAGCTCGATCCGAGGCCAAAACAGGTTCCGGGCGAGAGGGGCAGGTTACTCTCCTAATCACCAGGGTATAATGAAATGTAGCCCAAAGCTTTTCCTCTGCCATTGTTCATAGGACATGCAAGGGTGCAACGTGAACTTGGTCTGCAAACGACCAGTGTCCCTTTTTTTCGCTCGTCAACCCCTCCCCCATTCTTACATTCCTCCGTTGGGCTAGCTGTGAGAGAAGGACACTCTTAAAACAGTTACCTTCACCAAAAGCATATTCGAGGCCAAGCCAAGGTCCTCGCCCAAAAACGTGATTGTGCTACTATGTACTGAAGTTTGGTGTTGTGTGGGAGATCTGTTTGGGAACTTTTCTTCTCTCCAGTGCGTTATGAAATGTGTCGTGCCGCTTTCATGGGTAGGATGACAAATTATTGAGCATCACAGTGCCTGAAATAGGGGATGATTCTAGTGTGGCAACTTGAGCATCACCTTGGCTGAAAAAGCGGACCATGCGCCCAGGGTTGGCCATGCTGCTATTATAAGCGAGGGACGTGTGTCTTTCAGAGTTCATCGGTTCGTTCCAAGTTCGTCAGTCTTCTATATCACAGTGCAAAGCTTCATCATAGTTCCTGGGGGTGCTTTTTTTCTAGCAGCTGCTGGCTTTAACATCTCTTTAGAATTTTGAGCTTGGTACCAGCAGCTATCGACAAATCTTTCTTTCAACACCCTGTTACGTCAAAGGAAGGGAGAAGGACCGAAATGCAGTGGAAGCTGGTACCACAGTGGCGCCTGGCCGGTGCCTGTGACAATTCGGTTAGGCAAGGCACTCCTTCAACACGCGTGTTATCTCTATGGCTGTTGACTTATAATTTTAGATGCGGAACATATCTTGCTCGGGTTTATGTACCGTGGCATTGGCGTCCACACTCACACTTCGCATGCGCAACTCTCCCCTTCTCTATCCAACAGCTGCATATTACTCTTTCCACTTCTCTCATACCACCTGCTTGCGTTTTCAAATTCTGCTCTCGAGGCACGTACGCTACGCTCCTCCTCTAGTATACCCTCCTTCAAGTGTGAATGTTAAGCGGGTAGAGCGCTGTGCACGTTCAATGCACTGCTTGCTTCGGTTCTCCTACGCTCCCCCCTTTATCACATCACAAAGCCAATGCAGGCAGCGTCTGCTTGCTCCCCCCTCTTTCCTCGAGGCATCCCTCCCCGCTGCGTTTACTAGACCATTGATTGATTTGTGGGATTTAACGTCCCAAAACCACCATTTGATTATGAGAGACGCCGTAGTGGAGGGCTCCGGAAATTTTGACCACCTGGGGTTCTTTAACGTGCACCCAAATCTGAGTATACAGACCTACAACATTTCCGCCTTCATCGGAAATGCAGCCGCCGCAGCCGGGAATCGAACCCACGATCTGCAGGTCAGCAGCCGAGTACCTTAGCCACTAGACCACCGCGACGGGGCGGTGTTTACTAGACCACTGCGCATACGCATTCCCTCCCTTTTTCTGGTCTCCTACACTTGAAAAAAGAGACTGCTCGTGCTGCAGAACTGTTCACTGGCCACCATGTTCATTATATAGGCACTAGACTTTGACCTCCAATGTAATGCCAATGGAAGATTTCCCCTGTGCATTGAACAATAAAAATTTGCAGCGTGCGCATTAACTACAATTTCACTGCCCATTAGCAGCGATTGGCATGTTCCAGTAGGAAACACCAATCCATCACTACGTGCTTTGTGCCTGCCCGGGTTTTTCTCCTGCGCGACGCCACTATGAGCGCCAACGTCAACGCTGCCACCAGTGTAAGCGGTAGCACCTGCTTCTTTGCATCTACACATGGTTTTCTTAAAGGGCCATTCACCAGGTTTGACAATTTTGTGCTGACAAGCGCAATGCGCAGCCAAGGCGTTCATGATCACGTCTGCCAAAATTTGCAACACTACGCGCCGCGGAAATTGGTCAAATTTCAAGATGAACGCTACTCCCTCTCCCCTCTGCCGGCGCACGCGTAGAGAATGAGGGCATAACGTGGGCGTAGGAATGGCCCTACGTACACGGCAATGCAGTGACGTTGGTCCTCTACGTAGACGACTGTGCTGTGACGCTGTCAACAGTATACCACCTGACATGCCAAAATTGCTGAACACAACATGCGCAGTTTATGTATTTGTTGCTTGAAGAGATTAATCAAACTTGAAATAAATAATGAAATGCAATAAAAAATTTTGCACGTTTTTCTTTCATTTATTTCCCGCAAAATGCTAAGAGATGCAGGGCTAATGTGCCAGGGTTTCGCATGCGTTCGTGTCTCTGCGTTCAGCGCATTAAGAGGATGACCGCCGTGGAACGCTCCTACGCGTTCGCGCACTCATTGTGCTCATCTACTCTACCGCGTCTAAGCCAGCGTTTCCAAACCATCCTGCAGAAGCAGGCAGAAGACCACAAAATAACGCTGGTCAACAAAGCAACGCTGCTCGCGTGCTCGGGGGTTGGACTTGTTTGCGCACGTCATGCGCACGTCACCTCATGGTCGGATGCTGGAGAGGGTGGAGAAGAGATTTAACTTGCGAAGGCTACGCGGAGGAGTGGCAAGGGTTTGGAGCTCATCACCTCAAATCCTCGTTTCGTGCCACCTCAAAAAACCTGTTTTCTCCACTCGTGATGAACCGATTAGAAAAATTTTTGTGGCAAAATGTTCCTCATCGGACACCCAACAACTTCCACTGTCTAACTAAAATTCGGTATAGGGCCTGGTGAGTGGCCCTTTAAGGGGGGCGCGTGTTTTGGAACGGTCGAAAATGGTGAAAAAAATCTATTTTTTGCAAAGCTCATTTGGGAAACGCGATAAAATCAACCTTCAATGCACCCCGGTGGCATTAAAATGCCCCAAAAAGAACGAAATTTGTTCTAACTTCCGAGCGCCGCCGCCTTAGGCTTGATATGAAGCTGTTTTCTTTGTGCACATTTTGCGCCATCTCAAAATGGCATAGCTCAAGCAGAATGTCTTCCGTCGCAGGTTTTCTGAAGGTCGTTTCCACATCGCTGATTGGCGTTGACGCGGCGTGCTTTTCCGAGTCTCCCATTGGTTAGAATGACCAACGCATCATTTTTTAAATTTTTATTTGTGTTGCGTTCACTGTGGCTGTACGATTGTGTGAATCTGCTCTAACGATCGTGCGTGTTTCTCGACGAACCGTGTTTCCGCTTTGCATTTGTACATTTTAATTGCGATCGAGATGCCTGGAGACTCATTTGAAAACATCGATGCGACGAGCTTTCAAAAACCGTAGAAAAACAGCCTTGGAACAAGAAGGCACCGGCCACAAGTGCCCTTTGGCAGCTAGTTGCAGTCGCGGCCGGACCCATCGAATCTGTCGGAAACTTTAAGGACACTGTCTACTGACGATGCCGTGGGACCAAGTTCAACAAGCGATGCACTTTGGATTGATTCTGCGTACTACTCAATGGCGGAGCAGACGCAGCGAGTTGGGAAATCAGCACAAACAAAGAGCGTTTTGTTGGGAAAGTTACCTACCAAAGGTTCGCCCTCCTTGGAGTAAGCGCTTATAGCCTTCGCCATCCAATTTTCC